ACAGACAACCTCTCGTCAATATGCGTTTTTCGCATTGCATTGCTGCAAAAAACGCATAATAATGACAACAATGATAATAATGTATAATATCTCCCTCCCCGACTTTCTCTACTTCCTAAATTCCAATGACAACTTGCGAAAAACTACCGCAGCCGGGGCTATTTACCACTGCGCCATATTGGCTGATTTCGGCTTATGCAGTAGATCGAGGGTTCGAATCCGTCAGTGGTGAGACAACTAATCCCTCTACGATTTGTTCACTCATTTCTACAGTAAATTGATACTAGCATGTGGTATTAAATTCTTTCGGGCTCAGACAAGAGAAAAATGAAATTTTAGGTTAATGTTTCCCGTTTAAGTGCGACTATGCAGATCTGTTACAATCCTGGGTATTTAAATTCAGCCTTCACGCACGGCATAGAGGTAGTTTGTGTCATTTCCAGTTCAGGCGCAATGTTTCCTTCATATATTGAGCATGCCCACCACTGTTGTCTCAAAATGCCATTCATTTGGCAATGGTTTTTATTTGTCACAACTTATTGGACTTGTTCAGCCTGTTTTCGGTGTCCCCCCTCTTTTTCTTGAAAATCAAATTTAGTTTTATAGTCGGTACAGCTCTCAGTTTTTTTCCGGCAGCTCTTGTTTCCTCCTCGCACTTACGGGTACCGCGTCTCAGTCTCACGTTGGACCCACGCGGTTTTACGGCTGCATCAGCAGCTCGGGTCCCGCACGGAATGGGTTTTTGGAAGCAAGCCAATTCCAGGCACTATTCGATTGCGTCGCATCATCGTCGCCGTCGTGTGCGCTACTGGTCAAGCGGTTTGCGGGTTGGTCGCTGCAGGTTGCTTGTGGTCAGTGGTGGTTGTCTAGCGGTCTGTCCACTCGCGGTTTGGCGTATTGATCGGCCGGGGCTGGGACCTGGAAGTGGTGGCGAAGCTGCTGGTGCTAAACCGTTGGCATGCAGGATATCACTGCAACCACGCGCGGTAAATGTTGCGACCACACGGGGTAAACGCAACGGACATTGGTGGACATGTTGCTCGTCTTGCTGACATCCGATGGAAGTGGCACGTAGCAGCAGTGAGTGATACCTGCGAGAAAATAAGCGACTAATCAAGCTGGTACATTGAAAATGCCCGGATTCGAAATAGATGAGAAAACAAGAAGGAAGATTTGCTACACGTTCGATGCAACGAGAGAGCACGATCTGCTATCGAAAGCATTGACAGTTACGTGGATTTACGACTTCGACGTGAATCCCCGTCACGCTTCAGGCATCCCCGTCCCTTCCCCCTCCTCCGGCCTCAAAATGTGTTGTCTTCGGATAAACCCGGTACCTGAAGTGGACACCTCTTTTGCGATAGCATACAGGGGAAAGCCGAAGGGGATGTCATTTTTGCTGAAACACCAAGGAAAGAGACAGAGATTTGAGGACATCCGAGGAGATCGACATATTCGGAACCGTATGGTAGCAAAGGCCGGCACCGAGGCTTTTCTCGACAATGGTTTGGATGATTCCCGGGAAGACCAAGCGGCTGTAAGCATGGTAACCTGGGGCCTTGGAAACTCGCCAACTGTGTGGTCGATATACACAGAGGGTGCCAAAGAGGGGTAATAACGGGAGGCAAAGAGCGAAACTTGGCTGATTACGCGGTAGCCACATATGTATGTACGTAATGCCGAGAAGCAGGGTAGCCGAGGGCCGTAAAACGTGGCTGACGGTGTGACCGGTGCACGTACTTGATGACAGAGGCCAGCGCTGGCGGGAGGAAAAATGGCCTAGGCCGCAAAAACTGGCCGAATTATATGGTCACTACGTGTAGATGGCATCAAAGCTAGCGATAACGGGGACATGGTACCTCCGAGGATATGGAGCCTGGTTGGTTTTGTGACCGACGCACATGTAGAAGGAAAGTTTGGGAATTTTTTTCATATGCATCCTACGCAAACATGGTCCTGGGCCAGGCTCAGAAAATTTCAGCGCTCCAGCTGCTTTGGTTGCGGAGTTGCGAAACTATCAGCACCAAGTTTTCACGTGTTCGTACGTGAACTTTTGTGAAACAGTGGCGCTTATTTTGCGTCTGCTGTGATTGTATTTCGGGAGGAGATTGGTGGAAGCATTGATGCCGAACGTTTTGTGAAACAGTGGCGCTTATTTTGCATCTACATTCAGTAGTAGCCCGAGCACTGGCGTTTTGCCAAAAGCAACCATACGCTGGTATAACTGCCCATGGTTTCCACCGAGTGATGCATGGGAAGCAAGTTACAGAAAGCGATTTAAACCCTTGATTTTCTGAGCCCATCAGTATCACTGATTGAGTCAGTGAGTCCGAAGAACCGGAAGATCCCGATGAGCGATTTGAGCCAAAAACTGTGCCTAAAACTCCCAATCATCGGGCTGAGTGCGAAACAGAAGAAAGTAGCATATCATGCCGAAAAACGTTGGAACGTACCAGTGAACAGATTGAACCGAAGAATAAGTCCAAAACCAGCGGAAGGGGCTTGAAATTGAGCCAGAGACTTCTCGCCTGAATTTGAACTCGGCATCCCCCGGTCATCGGGTTGAGTCCGAGACTCCTCCCAGACAACGAATCGATACCGAGCTATCACTGGAGCAAGGCCAGCAGCAGTTACCGGTTATGTCTTTTCTGGCGGCCCTTGGTTTAACCTGTGCTCCAATTTGTGCTTTGACTTAATTTAGCCTCTCTGCTGCTCATCGGTCCGGATTTCTGGCGTGTCTTTTGGCTGAGTCTCTTTCGTTCCGCTGTTTCTGGGATGCGTTGATTGGGATTCCGGTGACCTCTCTCGTTCATTTCAGGTTGTTTAGAGCGGGTTGATCTGAATTTCCTCTGCCAGCCAAAGATGACAAGCAGTGCACTACCAACGTTGCATCCGTTGGTCGAATGGGCTCAGCGCGACAAAATTCTTTATTTGACCGTTGAGATTGACAACGTGAACGATCTCGATATCACTGACAAATCTCTCCGTATCACGTAAGTCACAGTTGTTATGTAATTATGCATAGTGTGATAGTATGGCTTATGGGGCATCGCCCCTTCCCCCGCCCGCCTTCCCGTCCAGTGGCACAGGTAGCAGTGCTAATATTGAAGAAAACTCTCTTCGACATCCCTCGTCGCTCCCCTTCCGCCCAGAAGCCTCACTGTCTTTCTCCCCAGACTGCTGCCACTAGGAGCTAAGATCTCCTCTCTTCCCTTCCCCCGCCCCGTGCCGCCTCCCCCTTCCTCAGGAAACTGCCCTGGATCTGCCTCTGCTGTTGTTTTATGATTGCTTAGGTTATTGCTGATATCATAGCATACTTTTATGGTATATTGTAGCTGGCAGTTATGCAGCTGAACTGGTAATTTAGTAGGTTTGGAAGGTGCCGCTTTTGCAATTGGTGCTAGGTTAGTGCTGGAAAAGACACCTCGTAACTCGCTGAAAGCTATCCACGCTACTGTTTTCTTTCTGTCTGGTTAGTTTCTAGTGCACCAAGAAGTGTTTTTTTCAGAGGCACATTCGGCGGAAACAAAACATTGTATGAAGCATCGTTGGAATTTTACGATAATATCAAGACAGATTATCGTAAAATCGATAACAATAGGCATCTGGAATTGGTGATCAACAAGGAAGCCTCGAAATGGTGGCCGCGTTTGCTCAAAGACGCTGTCAAGGTAGGCTGTGTGCATTTTGTACAGTAGTAGATTAATAAAGTGGAAGGGAATAGTGAGTTTTACTCGGATCATAACACACATTCAAAGCCACATTCACCGGCGCGGCGAAGGCGGGAAACGCTAATTTGGATAATGTATCGTAGGATCTAAGACAGATTTGGCTTAGAATCTGAAAAAAGTTATGTGAACACTATAAATTGCACAATAGGTGCGAGACTTCAAAAGTGCGATGTTGCGATGCATGCTTCGTTGGCTGTTCTTGTTCTGTATTGCCTATAATTGTGTAATTTAGAGTTCGGGATGGGTGCCATTCACCTCCGTAGGTTAACATTGTGCCGTTCTTTTACGTAGATGGAGAAATTTTTTGATGGAAGAAATTGCTACTTAGAAACATTGAACGAGGTATTATTGCTTCACCGTCATAGCTCTTCTGCTTATACAACTAACAACTTCGTCCTACTTCATAGACGGATAAGCATTTGATGTGCTCCTCTATCATTACAGTGGGTACCACTGAATAGTCTCCGTGTTGTTTCTCATTCCCCTGGCCTGCATTGTTTTGGTAATTTCACTTGTGCTAGACTGGAGCTACGCTGTATCACCGGTTATGCGCTTGATGAGCCAGTTAGTTCGTTAGCCGAAATAGAATATGTTTTTCTAAAACACAGAATACTTTAAGAATTTGAATAATGGGTTTTTTATGCGCTAAAATATTTTGAACTAAGATGGAAGAGGGGGAGAAAAGAGGCGGCCGGGTTGCTAGTACCAAAGGGCATGACAGAGACTGCTGGGATAATGGATAACAGCAGAAAGCACCATCGATCAGACTGTAGACGTTCCTGTACGCGTCTTCTAGATAAATTTGAGCCACAGTAGTAATCCGAGGAGTCTTTTTGATCTCAGTGAATAGTAGCACGGATAAGCTGATTCTAGCAACCAGATTGACCCTGAGAACATGAATGGCGAAGTCGCGATAGATTACAGCATGAGAGAACAGTATAAGAGGAGAAGAGTGAGATAAAGGGTTTCGGTCCATTAAGTCGTATATGCCTTAACTGAATACCGCGCTACAGGACCTCATCAGTATGAGTATAAAGTGTCTATGTGTTGCTAGTCTTGATAGATATTAGCACGGATAAAGCATTTTGCACTGTCACTACCACAGATAAATTTTATCACTTTGAGATACTGGCACGAATTTTTCGTTCGCTAGATGTGGTGATGATTACTTGCTTGCCATGTCTAACTCGGCTTTCATTTTTTTTTTTTGCAGCTTCCATGGGTGAAGGTTGATTTCAACAAGTGGAAGGATGAGGATGAGGACGAAGATTTTGGTGGAAGCGATTATGACTTCCAGAATTATATGTCAAAATTGGGCAGTAGTGGTGGCCCTGGCAAAGGACCTGCGGACGATGATTTCTACGATACTGATAGTAGCAAGGATGACGACGATGGGGGCATGTTACATTTCTTTTCATTGTTTTTTTCTTTTTTTTGGCGGACAACTTATTTAAAAAGAGATAACTCTTAGTTTTGGTGCTTTTTTGATCGGATTCTTTTTGGCGGTTGTTTTTTCGCGCAGATTTTTTGGAACAAGAAGTTGAATGCTTCCGGATTCTTTGATTTCAAGCATTACTTTCTGTGACAATTTTGCACTCCAGAGCGGACTTTTATGACTTTTTAGCTAATTTTTGCCCAAGTCTCGCGTGCCGGCACTTTAAAGTTTTTGGCGCCAGAACTTTAAAGTGGTCGTGCGTGTGACCCAGGCGAACTTGAGGCCTGAATTAAACTCGCTGGATCATGCGTGAGTGAGGAACATTCCCCTAAAGTGTCAGCTTTCTAGCTTTTGAGGTTCCTGACTTAAAAAGTGCAAACAAAGTGCACTCGGACAGACACACAAAGACAAAGGCGGGACTTCTAGGTAGGGCGGAGGGGGGG